GTACAGAAATGAAAAACAGAATTTAAAACCATTTGAGCAGCTGAAGCATTTAAAAAAAAAACAGCAGGACTAATGTGAAAGCTCTGCCACTCCCACAATATGCCATGAAATGCCACTGAATGCTTCAGGGAAGGCAATTTAGCCTGGCGCCAAAAGAACACAGTTGGTGCCAGACAGGCTGCAGTGGAGAGATCAGCAGGGCAGAAGCAGGGTTTTATGGTCAGACCTTCTGGTCCTTGTCTGTAATCTGGCGGCTACATTTTGCACAAGCTGAAGCTTCTGAACCATTGCAAGGGAAGCCCCAAATAGAGTGTACTGCGGTAATCCAGCCTGGAGAGCACAGATTACTGAAGTTAGGCTCCCAGATAGGAAGACAGCTGCTAGAAAGCCACTAACCAAAGCTGGTGGAGGAAACTGCATCACTGAGGCTGCCTGAGCATTAAGCGTCAAAGGTGGCTCCAGGAGCACCCCAAGCTAGAAACCGGTTACTTCGAGGGGAGTACAACTCCATCCATACCAGGCCAAAAACCCCTCCATCTAGGTAGAGATAACATCATCTCAGGTTTGTCTGAATTGGGCTTGCTTGTTGGCCCCCATCCAGTTCACTGTTGCAGCCAGGTACTGACTTAGCACATCCACAGCCTCACTTGCTGAAAAACTAAAAGGACAAATAGAGTCCTGTGTCGTTAGCATACTTATGTCCCAAAGGAAACGGGATCCACATATTTGGAGCCGCAAGCGTCCCTGGAGCTGATTGGCCATCACCCACTCAAGCAGCTTTCCCAAGAAAGGAACATTTATCACTGGCATAAAGCTGTTAAGATCTTTCGGGTCAAGGGAGATTTTTTTACGGGAGTGGTCTCACTGCTGCCCCTTCCAGATGGCAAGAGATCCTTTGCAAGGAAGCACTGATCAATACCCTGGCCCAGCCAGCTGTTCCCTCACTGCCAGCTTTTATAAACCAAGAGGGATAAGAATCCAGTATAGAAGTGCTTGCACAAAGCTGTCCCACAACCTTACTGATGTCCCCGAGTTGTACCAACTGAAATTCATCCAAGAAAACTAGATTGGGTGGTGCTCCTGATACACCAGCAGATACATGTGCTATAATCACTGAGTCTAAATCCCAGTGTATGCAACAGATTTTACCCTAGAACTGCCTAACAAATACATTATAGCAGGCCTTGGACAGATCTACACTGTCCTTAGGGACTCTAAAGTGCTCCTCTGTGTGACAGACACAAGGCAGGGAGGTATTGCTTCTTTGCCACCCTCACTGCCCTAAGTATACCTGATCACAGACACATGCCCAAGTTTAATGGCATTCATCTGCTCTCATTCCATCTCCTATTTTGTTTTATCACACTTGGTCTCAGGATATACTATGGAGCCATACAAGGTCTGAAACTGAGCAAGTGTGTCAATTGTTCAGTTTATTTGTGAATTCCACAGATCAACAGGGTTTCAAAACAAGAGTGTTACCCATGTCAGTCAGAAACCTCCAAAACCATTTGAAAACCATCTGGATCCATTAGTCTCCAGGAGCATACCATCTTTATAGGACTTCAGAGGGGGAAAACCACCATCAGTCTAAACCTCAACAGGTAATGATCTGACCATGGGCAATGGACCAAATCAAAGTTCCCTACTTTCGGATCATCATCCCCATGTCTGGCCAAAAAAATCAGGTCTAAAATATGCAATCTACAAGTGTGGACTGATGACGTGTTAAGACAGTCCCAGGGTTGTCCTGGAGGCCAAGAAATCCTGAGTCATTCCTCAGCATGGATGTTTACATCTGCCCAAACTAGTGACCTGGGGAACTTCAGCATCACAACTGAGACAACCACTGTCAGCTCAGGTAAAGAGATGGGTAACAGGGTAGGTGGTACATGAGCAGAATCCCCAATCAGTCCTCAAGTGCTCCCATTCCATTGGGAATGATGAGCTAAGGATTCCAAAGGGATTCTTGTGTTGGTTGTTTTTGGAGCCTTCCTGTGCCCTTAGGGGAGCACAAGGTGGACTACAGCTATGCCCAGTACACTGCATGCAACCTGGTCTTTAAATCAGCATTAGCATAACATGCTGCATCTCCTTGTGATCCTCCCAGCTTTCACTCGCCAAGCATACAGTCAAATTTTGGTGAAAATGGGATGAAGTATTTATTGAGAATTCAAACCAAATGGTACAGGATCAAAAAATGGTTATTCTGTTTCAAGCACAAGCATTAAGCAGTTTTAAGATGCCAAATCAGTGGTAAGTGGCAAATAAACAGAAAATATAGCCTAGCTAGCACAGCCCCATGTAAAGCTGCCTACCTTGTTCCTTGAAAGTCCATGGTCTCTGTGATGCAGTTCCCCTAGTACCTGTGACTGACTTCCCTGTCTTTTGGGGAAACCTACACACTAGCACCTGCACCCAAGAAAAGCTTCCAAAGTTTCTTTTCAGATGACGTATTTCCCTTTCAGTTCCTCTCTGCTTGTATGGGTGAAGATTCCTGAAACATCGCTTGTTTTTTGTCTGTTGACAGTCAGGCAATCATTCATTTCCAGCTCTGAGATGGATTCTAGAAGATTTCTCATTGTTAGGCACCTGGGCAGTTACCTAGTTAATAGGTATAATAAGTGGAGGTGCTCGGCCTTGAAATGTCCTTGCCAGGACATCTGTATTGCAATGCCAGCATCAAGGTGCCTTGGCTTTACCATGCAGCAGAGACCTGCAACTGATTGTGAAAGGGAGAGTTCTCTCTTTTAGATCTGGGTCAGTATGGTCTCAGTGAGTGGGCCACTCCTGGTCAACCAGAACAGTCTTGCTGGTCCAACACACAATGCACACACTCCAGAGCAGTAGAAAGACAAACAGGAAGCCTGGAGAAACAGAACTCTTATAGGCTACAGTAACCCCTTTGCTCCCCACTCCTCAGTCTACTCTGATACTGAATCAGGCACCCCAGTGAACACATCTGGGAGGGACTAACGCCTCCTTGTTAAGTCTCAGTTATGCATGCCAGATTCACCACCTCATCCACTATTAAATAATGAATAAGGAAGGTCTTACTCTGAACTGATCTCGCATTTAAAAGTACTATCTAAAGACCAAAACAACCGGTGCCTGGCCGAGGTATTGGGCTGGATGAGGGCCAATAAACTGAAACTCAATCCAGGCAAGATGGAATTCTTGTTGGTGGGCGATTCAAGCTCCTGGGTAGGTGACTTGGACCTTTTCCCGGACGGGGTTGTACTCCCTCTAAAGGACAGGGTCCACAGCTTGGGAGTGCTCCTCGACCCGGAGCTGTCATTGGAAGCTCAAGTGCCTGCGGTGGCGAGGAGCGCTTTCCTTCAGCTTTGGCTAATCCATCAGCTGCGTCCCTACCTGGAGGAAGATTGCCTAGAGACAGTGACACATGCATTGGTTACTTCCCGGTTGGATTTCTGTAACACACTTTACATGGGGCTGCCCTTCCGTATTTGCCCTCCCACCCCGAGATCGGCTGCAGAGGCCCTCCTCCAGGAACCCTCTGTGAAAGACATTAGGAGGCGAAGTACCTGGAGGAGGGCTTTCTCTGCAGTGGCGCCCCATCTATGGAATGCGCCCCCCCCAGAGGTCTGCCTGGCGCCATCGTTATTTGTTTTTTGGAGCCAGGCTAAGACCTTTTTATTTAAACAATATTTTAACAATTTTATATCATTTATAGGTTTTTAATTTGCAGCCAGGGTGAATCTGGATTTTATGTGCACTATTTGTATTGTGTTATTTATTTATTGTATGTAAGCCATCCCGAGGCTCATGTGAATGGGACGGCATACAAAAATTTTAAATAAATAGACAGACAGACAGTCCGGATACTTCAGATGGTGCAGAACAGAGCTGCCAGGATGCTTACGGGGACTGAGTGTTATTCTCATATAACCCCAGTCCTCTATCAGCTCCACTGGCTTCCCATCGAAGTCCAAGCTCAATTCAAGGTTCTGGTTATTACCTATAAAGCCCTCAACAGCTTGGGACCTGGATACCTAAAGGAACGCCTTCTTCCCTATTTGCCCTCCCGCCCCCTGAGATAGGGAGCAGAAGCCCTCCTCCGGGAACCCTCTGGGAAAGATATTAGGAGGCAGAGCACCCGGAAGAGGGCCTTCTCTGCAGTGGCGCCCCATCTATGGAATGCACTCCGTCCGCCTGGCGCCGTCATTATGTTTTTTGGCGTCAGGTTAAGACTTTTCATTTCATCAATATTTTAATAAGCTTTAATATTGTATTTTTAATATTATATTTTTAACTGCAGCCAGAGTGGGTCGATTTGTTTATGTTGATTTTTATGTTGATAATTTATTTATATTGATATTTGTATTTTATTTATGTAAGCCGTCCTGAGGCTTTTACAATAGGATGGCATATAAATATCACAAATAAATAAATAGATAGATAGGCTGTTATCTACATATACAAGGAGGTCAGATGTGCTGTCTGGGCCATGCTCCCTTTATCAGGCTAGCCACTGACTCAGTGCTGTATCTTCCTCTATCCATCACTACACTGACTGAGTTTTCTGCACTTCCTTCCACTTGGCAGCATGTCAGAAACAGTAAGTTAATTGCTTCTTAGCTCTTTCCTTTTCTACCTGTCCAGATCTTGATGGTTAAATCCAGTACCTGACCCACCTGTGGACATGATAAATTACCTTATACTAAATGCAACAATTTGTTTATCTAGTCTGGTACGAGCTATACACTCTGGCAATGGATACCCTCAGTCTTAGAGGTCTTTCTCAGCCTGCTGTGGGAACAGTTCTCTCGGAGGTCATGGAGATACCAGGACTTGAAACTCAGATATTTTGCGTGCAAGTAATGTGCTCTACCACTGAACTGGGGTCCTCTCTCCTACCACTCACTGCGAGTGGCACCTCTTGCCTCCTTTTGTCTTTCTTGCATCCCCTATTCCTGAGGTGCAGCTGTGGCACATAAACTGAGGCCATATCTGAAAGGGGAATCTTTGCTCATCTGCTCCTCAAGCTGGCAGCCCTAGCAAACGTCTAGGGTCCTTGCATCCTGAGGATGGCTCTGACAAACAATTACAAGCTCATTTCTGATACCAATTCAAAGGAACTGACATGTATGGCAAGTGAATTGAAAGTTGAATGGGAAAAGTGTGTCCTAACTCTACCTCTAGGGCGAACTCTTCTCCTTGGTCTAGTTGACCTGTGTGCAGGCATTATTGAATAGGCCATGATTTAGAATGCTAACCTTCTCTTAACAGCCATGAAAATCCTCAATGTTCACAAAAGCATTGCGAATAAAACTTCATTTAAAAAGCAATGGATACAGATGAAGGCCCAATTCTCAGGTAGCTGTCAACAGAAATAAAACGTGCTAATACTCACAGATTCCAGCTCCTTAATGTCTTTCTCTAGTAGTTTATTTTGCTTACTCATGCTCATGACATGGCTAAATATAGACTGCCTGGGATGCACTGATTGGTCAAACTGATGATACATGTTTCTCCAAAACCTGAAAATGCCAAACATAGTGTCATTAAGTTAAATGATTCTCCTTGCTGGAGCATACAAAATAGAAATCTAATTAAAACTTACTTAAAATTAAAGGATACAGTGTCGGGCTCCAGAACTGTAAATAACTGAGAAAATTTTTCATTGTAGACAGGGTTTAGGTATTTCTCACGCTCATCCAAAAGGAAAGGCCACAGTGAATAAGTCTTCTCTTTCAATCTTAAAGGGAAGATGAACTGAGAGTCAATCACCACCAGCAGCTAAGGAGCAGCATGTTGGGAGTTGTGCAAGTTTTTTTCTGGCTAAACATTAGTAGGATAGAGTTCTAAAGAACTTGAATACCACACCTTCATGGCAAACTACACATAACATAGAACTATGATCAGAATTCAGTCATGGGGAAGACAAGACAAAATCAGAGTATAACTGCAGTGCTGTGGAGAGGTTCCCTTTAAACTTGTCCTCATTCCTAATGTTTAATTCTATACTGCCTTTTGGAAGCCAACCAAGGTGATCTAGAAACATTCAGAAAAGAAAGACCACTGCCAATTTCTGTAAAAGTTTTTTTAATGCTAAGAACCATTACAATTTTAACATTCAATTTAAAATACGTTTGGTCCCCCTTCTAGAATGGATAGGGAGCATTTACCTAATTAAATTTTTAATTTTTAAAGAGATTCTGTTCAATTTTAAATATTTATCTTCTTCCTTCCTTCACCCACCACGGAAAGCAGCATCTTGCAGATGGGATCTAAAACATGCAAAACAGCATCTAGGGGGCAGGGGTGAGGGGGAAGTCCTTCCAATATCTCTCTTGGTAAAAAGAATACTTTCCCAAGAAGATTTTACAAGTATTCAAGTTCTGAGAAATGGAGAGATCTTTTCCTTACATAGCTGCTGTATCAGTTTTTCCTCCATGAGAAAGATGACTCGAGCAACAACTTGCTGCTCTGCTGTCCAGCAAAGCATGCTCCCCACCATGATCTTATCTGAGGGCTCCATATTTTATAGCCCCATGGGGAGACTCCTGACCTTTCTGGCTGAGGAGCAGCAGCAGGAATCCAGTTTTGTGTAGCAAACTGCTAATAGCAAGGAACCTTACTTTAGCTCTTCTCGTTCTTTTTGGCAGTTTCCAATGAAGTTTCCAAACTGACATGAATGGACGTGCTCATGGATCTGAAGAAGAAAAGCTTCATTGTACTCAAAAGCTTGTGGAAACTGCTCCATCAAGTGCCAGACACTTTCTAAAAATTGTGTGAAGACTGGTGAGATTTCCTTTGGGTCACCATCCAGTTGGCCGCATCTATAAAATATATTGCACTTGAATGATGCAGACAAAACACCATGCTCCCCCCCCCCCCACACCATACTGTATGGGATCAGTAGCAAAGCAGCCTCTCTTGATACATGTATAATATTTGAAATAATACATTAGAACATCAACTTTTCATTTTCATTAAAAATAAAAATAGCTGCTAAAACGCACTTTATAATATGACAGTATAGTGGAGAAGCTAATATTGGGTAGTTACAGAATTATAATCTACTCAAGACCCCTTTTCCTGCTTTCAGATGTTTGTTTCCTAAATCACCTTCCTAAATAATGTCCATTCATGAATATGTTTAATTCATTCCAAAAGGTGATCTCCAGTGGTAGTGTTAATGCCATCTCTATGTCATAGGAACCAAACTATTGACTTTCTTTTAGGTAGAGAGGCAATAGGTAAAACATGTTACAGCCAAAACATTTCCTAGTGGTAAACTCTAATTGAGAACTGTATTAAAATCAGTGGGAATGAGTTCTTATACACCCAAATGTGAGAATTGAAAAAAGAAAAAAAGAAATATAGGCGGCATGGCCCCCTAAGTGTTCCATTACATCTGATGACTGTGGCAGAATGTGCTTTTTCCACATGGTTTAGATTAGAACTACATTAGTTAACTGCAACAATGTCTAACCAGAATAAGTTCAGAAACAGAGGATTCTGTAGAACAAAACCAAACTGTCAAGCATGTGCTTTGTCTTTCATCTTACTGTATTGCAGCCCATCCCCACGCTGGGAATCTGGCTGTGACTTGGAGCATCCCTAAACACATATCAGTGTTTATCACTATCAGTAAAATATATTTTTAAATTAATTTTAATTTTAAAATTAAAATTTCATCACTATTAATGTGCTTTTAAAAGAAAAGCCAAAGAGCCCACTTAGCATGCCGAAAGTAAGCTATTTAGATCAAGCAATTTCAACTAAACCAGTAATTTGGTTGAAATTACTACATTTCCACCAGCAAGTGACACATGGTTGAGTCTAAACAAAACTTCTGAGGTATAGCCCATAAAAGGAAAAATATTTCTGGGTTAGAAGTAGACATGTTTATAAAATTACAAATATGCAGGCATACAAAGTATTAATTTAACATGATGAACCATAATATAAAAAGCATTCATACACACAACATTTTTGAGGCAAAAGAACCTACCTGTCTGAAAACTTGTGTCCAAAAGCAATCCAGTCTTTTTCTACCAAAACCTGAAAGAAAGCATAGTATAGTTATTTATCTATTATAAAATAGATGTTTTAATTTAGATAATACCCCTCACAATGACGTTCTCTCTTTGGATCTTGACTAGTTGTTCAAAACATCAAAAAAGGACACAAAAGAATCCCAAATGAAATATGTATCTATTAGATTTAAATATATTATCAGAGTCACAAAAGACATAGCACAGACTCAACCAATATGCTTAGCACTGAAAATTAGCACAGGGATCAAATCAGCATTTTCTAGCAAAGAAGAACCTCTATTTCACACTCACTCAGGAATTGAGAAGTGGTTGATTTTCCATATGTGCTTACATTATTACTGAAATTCAACATTTTAAAATCCAGCTGCATACCACATCTTGTCTCCCACTGATATAAATTCTACCTGAATCAAGATTTCCCCCATAGATTTTTTTATCCATATTTTTAAGAAGATGAGCAAACTCCAATCTAATGGGCAACATTCATTCCAAATGAGTTACCACTTTGTGTAACATTGTTCAATGTGACTTTGTATTAACATGTCCCAACTAAGAGCAACTCAATTTGTTTTGCATACCCACCATGAATCCTTTGATTGTCCTATAATGTGGATCCAGCAACAAAGAACCCAGGGAACATACTTGAGATGTCCGGTCCCAGCCATCGGAACAATGCACTAACACGCTTGCACTCTCAAAAGCTATGGCCTGTACAAAGGAGGACAAGGACTTACTAATCCGTGCATCACAAGGAGGAAAATAAACTTGAATATTCAGTTTGATTCAAATGCACAGCTTAATTCATTTTTAAAAGCACTTTTTGAGTTTCATATGCTGGTGCACACAATTGCCATGATGCACCAAGAGATATCCTCACTTTTATCTACCCTAACGTTGCTCTAGGGTACTTTTACAAGGCAGGTGTACTGCCTTAGTCCATCTAACTCCTTCCCCTCCTAATGCCAAAAGGTGATCACCACATGATAAAGGCCACATCAGTTTTGGAATGTAGGAGGATGCCTACATGTAGGAGGTCTGGCTGTTATTACAGCTCAATGCTGTTTGCACTGACCAGGAGCAGCAATCCAAGATCTCAAGCAGAGGCCTTTAACATTATCTGTTTCTTGATTTTTCTTTAACTCATAGTACCAAGGGTTGGATCCTGCAACCTTCTGTATGTAGTACATGTGCCCTGCTACTAAGCTATAGTTCTGCAGAGGGAACACTCCATGAATACCAGAGCAGATTGCATTCTGCAGTACCCTAGGATTAAGGACCAAAGTCTATTTCTTTGCTAAGAACTTTCTTTTAGGATATTGGTACTTGGTTGACGTAACCTGGAAAGTAAGCAAGCCTGCTGAATGCAAGCTGAATTTACTGGGATATAACATGGGCAAACACCATTTTACATAAATTAAACAATACTAATTACTTTGGCTAAGAAGACAGCAGCATCCAATATTGCTTTGATGTGTCGCAGCCATCCAGAACTCTCCAAACCAGAGAGAAAATCATTGACTGATAGGCCTCTTGTTCCACAGACTAAAATGGAAAGAAACTCCATGATTAAACTGAAATAGTAACAGTACTATTGAAATAGTAACAGTACTATGGGTTCCAAACTTGCTTTCCTTTTCAAAAAGTGCCTAAGGAAACTCAATTCATTTTTGTAATTAGATGCCCACTTTTAAAGGGCAGGCATTTTTTTTAAACTATCAAGTGCTTTATACCAGTTAGGAGCATATACAGGCATACCTTCCAGAAGTTTTTGCAGACTGGACCTCATGACGTGGATGTTTTCAATACCAACAAATTGGAATCTAATATTGGAATAGTTGTCTTCATTCTCATAGCCTTTACCGGCAGCTCTATTTGCCATTGCGTTCAGCTGAAAATAAAGGAAGTCAACATAGTCACAACATAAGAAAAATTCACCATCAAATATATTCAGGAACTGTAAATGCTTGAGGGTGAGAAAGATTATGACCATTTGATTACTCACTTTCCAAAGCATTTAGTTTAATGACTTCTGCTCTGCAAAGTCAATAATCACATAGAATCCCAATTCTTTACCAGATAACATAAGGGAAAGGTTACCAGGTGAGGAACAAGTGCGAGAAGCCATCCTTCTCACCTTGAAATGTTAAGGCTGCCTATTCATAGTGTGGGAAAACTAGACTGAACCACTTATCATAGTTACACATACTGGAAGACTGGCAGCAAGCACTGCCAAAACACAAGGTATGAACCAGATACACAGATATATTTTAGGTGCCCAAGGGGCTTGAGCATCTCCACTATGATACTGCAACCCCTTTTCCCCTGCAAACCATCTCAAAGAGAGCAGTTTGCAGCACAATAATCACAATATGTTTTCAAAAGTTTCCTCTGTTTACAAAGTGGTTTACTATGTGAATTTTGAGAAACACCAGAACAAAGCATATTGGAGGCACAGAACCAGTTGCATGGATTTTTTTAGCTTGTGGCCAGGGATGTTAGTCAAGTCACTCCTCCAAAAATGGAGTGCATAAACTTTCTATATATGTGGGTACAAAAGCCACAGACATTCTATTACTGTTGTCATGACACTGTTTCCAAAACTCCAACTTAATAATAGAACACCACTAACTTAACAGTCAGGTCAAAAAGACAGCATCACCTAATACTAAAAATCAGCTAGAATGGAATAGCACATACTTTAGGCCTGGTGTCCACAACATACATATAGCTATTAGTTGGGCTGGCTTTACTGATGGCTTGCAACATATGCTCGTCCTCCAGACATCTGGCACTGAATCCTGAGAGAGGCTGACTACATCTGCAAATGGCAGCCTGCAAACGACAGAAGAGCCAAATATAAAAATAAAGAAACAGAGCAGACGAAGTTCAGAGGACATAAACAGCAGACTGAGATTTTGGTTCAGTTTTTAGTTCTCCAGTCAGAGAAGATGAAAACCAGAGTAATATACTGCAGATTTGGAATATCTAATATCTTCAAAAGAAAACCTAAAATCTCAAACTTTTCAAAGGTTTCTAAGTTGTGAACAATTCCCCTTGCAACACTCTGAAACAGATGCTGAACTACAGGGTGGCAGGGAATTCTTCCCTCCTGGTTCTATTGACGGAAGTGAATTTCACTCATGGTTTTCACTGTTACAGGCATAGGGGCTTTGCCCAAATTCAGTGTCAAAGTTGGACATCTGAGGTGACAGATACAGCTTTATTTCTTCAAAAAATATACGGAATGCATTATAAACAAATCTATTTACAAATTAGTTGATTCAGACCATTTTAATGCTCAGGACACATTATAATGGCATCATGCCATGGGTGTGGTGGTGAAGTTAACAATTTAAGATTATTTTTCCAAGCAGTATGAATAATAGCTACACAAGAAGACAAGTTGCAAAGCTTCTGTTTCTGAATTTTTAACAAAATTAGTAGGAACACAAACTCAAGCAGGTCCTAGAATATTGTTAAGTAACACTAGCATCCTTTTTCTCAAGCTACAATAGATCTAGTGACCTAATGTTACTATACTTACCTTCTTGTCTTTTCCTGTGTTGGAAAATAGCCTTTAGCCCACTTGCACTGAAAGGAAATCAGACTATACCTCATTGTCTTTATGATAATATGACAGCACAGGGAATCTTCCTTTGCTTCGGAACTTAGAACTTCCAACAATTATGGGCTTGCTTGCACTCCTGGGAACATAAAGTTCTCTTGGATAGGTTTCACAGATCTGAGGAAAGAAAAGAAAAGAATAATTACAATAAACATCACAGATCAGTCTACCATATCTAATTGTGCCATCTACTATAATCAAATGGACAGAGTTCAACCTGTATGTCAGAAATTGCTGTATTGGAATAAGTATCTAAAAGGGTTCTAAGTGCAGGAACCTAAGTTACCATATGCTGAATCAGACCACTAAATCCATCTAGCCCAGTATTGTTGACATTGATTGGTAGCAGCTCTGCAGGACTTCAGGCATGATTCTTTCCCAGCAACCCCTTACCTGGAAATGCTGTGAATTGAACCTGGGACCTTCTCCATGCAAAGCAGGTGATCTATCACTGAGCTACAGCCCCTCAGGACACTAGAAAAATGCCTTCAGGTGGACCCTAGGACAAATTTAATGAGGCAAACATGTACAACTCCAAGTGCCGGAAGCACCATGGTTTTAGCCAGCTCTCTTACGGTTGACTGTAGTAAAGGAGAAGACAGTAGTAGTAGAGTAGTAAGTCACATAACACAGCAAGACCAGGGCAATCTTCCAACAGTTTTTGTGAAGCAGCAAAGTTGCACAGCAAAGTCTAGCCTCAAGAGACTAGTTGTTCCTGAGTAAGGGTAACATGTAGAAATATGAAAAATAAAGCAGTATAACATGTGGTGCAGGCTGCCCACCAATACCTCCCTTTAATATCAGTTTCCTGGCCAATTTACATATAAATCTAATATGTAATTAAAATATATTAAGCGCATATATAGTTGTACAATTTGAAGTGATTGCTACCTCCAAGAACATGGATTTTTAGCTGGAGTATTTTCCACTAAAGATTAAGAGAAGCAAAAAGGGCAGGGGGTAAAAAACTGTTAGAAACAAACCATTTTAAAAACCCTATCACCTAAGAAAACATGTCAATTATAGTTCTTACTTTGAAGAGTTAACAGAACAAATTTACTGGCAGGATATTTGAAGAAGCTCTCCACACCAAAATACACATAGAAGGTAGGTCAGAAGAAGAAAGCTGATGAACCCTACAAACATTTGAGCACTCACCCCACACTCACAGAACAGTTAATACAAACAAGAAATGACAATAAAATCAGCGCAAATAATTCATTAATGCACAAATGATAAATGAGAACCTGGGGAGGAGAAGGAATTAACCACTGATATGATCAACTCCTGGTATTAATTCTACATGACATCTTTTCTCATTATGAGGTAGAACCAGCAATTAGCAAAGATCTGATCAGGCCAGATAAAAGGAAGCACTCCTTCACACAGTTCATAGGTGAACTACGGAATTCTCTGCCATAAAAAGTAGTGGTGGCTTTAAAGGAGGATTGGATAAATTCATGGAAAAAGCTGTCAATGGCTACTAGTCTTGCTGGCAATGTGCTACCTTCAGCATCAGAGGCAGTGTGCCTTATGCCAGCTGCTGGGGGGGAACTCAGGCAGGAGGGGGGCCCTGTGCTCATATCCTGCTTGTGGGATCCTACGGTCAGCTTGAACAGAGCACTACTCTAGATGGACCCATGGTCTGATCCAGCATGGCTTTTCTTATGCTTTTCATGTTGAAATTGAAGAAGAAGCCTCCTCTTTCTGTGCAGCCTTCCACAAACTCCTTTCTGTGCAGCCTTAACTGAGCTCTACAAGAGGGGGAGACAGGCCTAATGATATTGCTTTCAATTAGGGCTATGCAGAAGGTATATTGGGATCTACTGGCAGATCAGCAAGAATGTTTAATTTTTCTTATTAAATAGTATTAACAAAAGCCAATGCAGCCCAAACAGCAACATAAAATAAGACAGAACCAGAAATGTCATACCCACAAGCAAAGATTGTAACCCATTACCTTATAATCACGATTAGCATCTGATAGTTGCCAATGAGAGTTAGTCACACCCATTCGATTGTATTCGTCCGCTAAGTCAATTAGCTGCCAGCCTTGCACTCTCTCTGCCTCATTTTGCTTTGGATTGTATGAGAAGGCATACAGTTCATCATATCTTGCTAAAACAAATCAAGAGAGGAGGAAAAAAAGAAAGAAGTCTCACCTCTTGTAGATCTTACTTCTCCCTCTCCCCCCCTTCAGAGTTAAACACAAACATGACAAGTCTTATGTTAAATCGCGAGCAAGTAAGCTGGCTTTAGAATATAATAACAAAAGAAACAAGTTCTGTTAGTGAAACAGTTTGCTAATGCAATACGACCCTGATAAAAGTTGATTTCAAACTATACAGAATTAGCTAATGTCCTCCCCAGTAAGCAAAATCTGCCTCAGAGTGCTTTCTGATTTCTCAAAGTCAACCACTTAGAACTTCCCACTCTCTGTCTTTGGTCTTCCATTCTTAACTGATGTCTCACTCTAAGATTTCTCATGCTCTTTCTGTCTTCTTCAGAAAGATTCCCATAGTTTCAGGAATAGCTTGACTCCCTCCCTACTCTTGTCTTCTGTTTCTCATGTCCTTGGTCTTCAGAGTATTTCCTCCCCCTCCTCTTCATCTGAGCCAGAAGCTATTCTGATATCCTTCTGGGGCTCTTCTACAGACCTGGTGAGGTCACCCTTACACCTCTGATGTTTATTTTTGTGAGAACAAAGGAACACCAGCAATCACCACACTGTAATGAGGAAGACAATAACCCTACCTGGCCTGGATAGCTGAAGCAAGGAGTTATAAATATCATGGCAGTCCCTTTCTCTGGGAACAATGAAGTGCACTATCCTGAAGTTCTTGCACTGAATCACCAGGGGACAACCAGAAGTTGTCAGGGCAAGTTTTTCCACCGCAGCAATATGATGGTGCAATATCTATAGCACACAATAATCCACAGAGAGTTTAATAGCAATGCTCAATGTCATTTTCCCCATCTTGGTTTCCACAGGGGGAAAACCACATACAATCTACAAGCTACTATAGCAGTTCAAGAGGTCATGTTAAATTTACTTTTTGAGCAAATTTAAGTAAATATTTAAGTTTGAAAATTTAAGTTTTTAATTTTTTAAACATTTCTGGATACAAAAGCAATTCATTATGTGGAATTTGGGGCAGGGGTTGCCCTTTAAAGCTTCTTTGAGTCCATGGAACTAGCTGTATGAATCCTCACCCACATTTATATTAATCCCATCACTAAAAGTTACTCTCAACAGACACAAGGGCAGAAAGACTCATACAAGCTCTTCCTTTCCTCACTGTTATGGACTAATGCTGTACAATCAGAGATCAGTTTGTCCATTCTCAAACGGATTAAAATTAAGATTCTAAAAGAAAAATTATTCAGAACTGAGCAAAATGATGCAATTTAATTAGCTAGATCATTATGGGATAACAGACACATTAAAAAAAACAGCTTTTAAAAACTTAAACTAACTGCAGTGCTGTGAACACAGGGAACCTATGTACGTGGTACGGGATCTGACACTTCACATGCTTTCGTACCAACTATCATGCAGGCACAGGAATGACAGCTGAGCGAATGGCCAAAATGATGTAAGAAGGCCAGCAATGAAATAATCCCACCCCTCCAAGTGCCTTCAGAGGCTTTGGAAAAGTGTGTTTGCAGCGCATTGAAACCGTGAGGCTCACTCAGGCCAGCCTTACAAAGGCAAATAGTTCTGTATTCATTTAAGGCAATTATGCCTCACATCTCCAGTGATTAAGGCAATTTACAACAACAATCCACTTATTACAAGGAGGCCAGGAGGCTCATCCTAGGGAGTCATCTAAATCAGCCCATTTAGGCCTTGAAAGATTCAGAATAAAAAAGAAAAAAACAAAATATAATTAAAGGAGTACATTATAAAAGGGTGCACTTAGAATCCTTACCCATGTTTCATTCTGGCTAGAGTCTATAAATAACAGATGAGTTGCTGTAAGATAAAGAGTTCCAGTTTGGGACTTGATGCTTGTACTGAATCGGTCTAATAATTTCACTTGCTCAACCTGTGTGTGGGACAAGAAAGCAACATGTTTTCCATGAGGTAAAACTACAAAATATAATCTTTACATAGCAGGAGCCTGGTCACATTTAAAGCTATTCTGCACAAGCTTATTTATACACTATTCTTTATATTTATATTCCATAACTTCCCTGCAAGGAATCCAAGGCAGTTTACATAATTCACTTATTTTCACAAGTACAATTGTATGAGGTAGGTAAAGCAGTAAGACTCTTAGTCCAGAGTCACCTAGTGAACTTCATGGCTATGTGAGAACTAGAATCTGGGTTTCCCAAATCCCAGTCCAATGCTCTAACCACTATGCTACACTGGCTCTCAATGCAAAAATGTCCAAAAGACAAAAATGTTCATTCTATATTTTCAGTGTGGATTGTTTTTGAAAAAATAACTTGAATGTCCCTGAGCATCTGCAGAATGCTCTTCATTCATGAAAAGGATGGCTTTATACTTGTCTAGAGGTAGACAACAAGGGAGTGTGCTGTAGATCTGTTGCAGTGCATTACATATTCAGGCTAGTGGGGTAGAGATGCTCCGCAGCTAGAGATAAAATAGCAGAAGAGGTTTGGGATTTACTTTGGGATGGTTAGATGATCTGCCCAGCAGTAAGGGGACTGACACAAACACAAGCATTCTAGTAAAATACATCCTAAAGTAGGGATGGGCAGAAGGCAGTTCTCCAAATGTTTTGGACTTCAACTCTCAGAAGCCCCTGCTAGCGCAAAAAAAAAAAAAAAAAAAAAAAGTCAGGAATGCTAGGAATCAAAGTACAACATGGAGATCTACTTTCTGCCCAACCCTGTTCTAGACTGAGGTGGGCAGCCTGCCATCCCAGGCTATATATGGCCCCCGGTTCGGTTTTGACAGTCCTCTGCAATGGATCAGTTCTGGCAAGAATGATATGGCCTTCCTGGCAGCCTGCTGGGCAGATAGGAAGAGGGCATGGAAGAGAGAGAAATAGAGGGTGCCCTTGCCAGTTTTAGGCTGTGGTCCAAGTCACTGCTGGCTTCAGTCCTGCTCATTACCAGCATAAAGCTACTGACAGATGACTTCAGGATGCAGCTCTTGGCCCTTGATAGAAAAAGGGTTCCCAGACCTGTTCTGGATAGTGACACAAGCCACATTCACTAAGGTAAGATCTACATCTGCTAAGGCAACACAGTGCATGATGCATTGCATTTTACAGGCTTCAGCATCCACAGCAATTTAATGTTTTTATACCACATACCTCATTAACGCAGCATGCAGCAAATAACACTACCACAAAACATGAACTTGTACTAAGCATGCACCGTTTTAGTGTATATTGTGTGCTACAGCAGCTCACACATGCACACTAATAATAATGAGAACTGCTCTGCTAGAGTATTTTCTGGCTTTGTGTCTCATAGCTCTGACAGCTGACCAAGAGGATAAAATTCTTGTCATGCTATAAAAAAGCTGGCTGAGCATCAACTCTAAATCAAATAGTTCTAGAGGCTATGTTACTAAAGGGGACTTCTGCATCTACATGGTAAGGCCTATAATGACAGTGCAGCCTCCAGAACAGTAATGGGTTCATTTGATTTTAGCAAGTCCCCAGGGTTGTATTAGGGTGGATTAAACTGCCAGCTCTCTCCTACAATCCTCATCTCTCAAATAGTAATAAACCATTACTTTATAAAACTAATTAACTGATAGCAACAGCTCAGCAAATACACAGCCTAAACACTGTGAACAGCAGAATCAGAACACAGTTGCAGCAATAGAAAAATCCTACATTGGCAATGCAAATTAATCCCTGGTTATCTTAGCATCATCATTCTACCTGGCTAGGTTACAAGAACTGTTTTATGACTGGTTGCCCAACCTGTAAGTGTCTCTTAAATATGTAGTTTTAAGAAATCAGGTTGTCCATGCAAAAAGTGTGGAAGACAACAGAGAAACCCACATGGCTCCACAAAATGTTAAGAGACAACCTGAAAGAAAAAGGAACATGTATAGGAGTTTGAAGCAAGGGCAGGTCACAAAGAATATAAACAAATGGCAATGAACTGCAGGGATGGTGTCATGGAAGGCTAAATCAGGAAATGAACTGAGACTAGCAAGGGATGATAAGAACAAGAAGAAAGCCTTCTTCAGGTACATGCAAAACAAAAGACACATGAAAGAAAAAGGTGCTCATCAACGGCACCTTCTTAACTTGGATGGAGGTAACTAGTGGAGTGCCGCAGGGTTCAGTCCTAGATCCAGTGCTCTTCAAAATCTTTATTAAAGATTTAGATGAGGAAGTACAAGGAAAGATAATCAAATTTGAAGACAAAACTGAGTGGAATAGCAAACATCCTAGAAGACAGAATGAAGATGCAGGGCGATCCTGATAAACTTGAATGCTGGGCTGAAAGCAACGGAATGAGATTTAACAGAGAAAAGTGCCAAGTCCTCCAATTAGAAAAAAGAAACCAAATACATCAATGCAAGATAGGGAATATATGGCTCAATGGAACTGAAAAAGACCCTGGAATTCTTTTACAACCAGCTAAACATGAGCCAACAATGCGATGCAGCTGCAAAAAGGGCAAATGCTATTTTG